ACTGGCATCCCCCTGCACATCATGCTGACCATGTGTACTGCCAGAATCAATTATGGTTTAATCCTTCGAAGAGTGTTACGAGGCAGAGTACATCTGAAGCAGAAGCTGATTGCCAGAGCTTTGGTGAAGTGCTGTTTCCAGAGTAGTATGACCACGTGGAGACCTTCCGAGAAGATGGGGGGTTCTGTAGTCTTCAGTTGAGCTGTTTCTTGCTTTAACCATTGCAATGTAATGTCAGGATTTTGTGTGTGTCAGGACAGCATCGAGAATGTTTGCCTTTCTCAGATACTAAAACACTCAACAAGTTCCAAGCTGCTTTTAAGCTGCAGGTATTTATTACGGACATGACCATTTGAGTATAATGACATTCTGCAATTATGTGTTTGGAATTTTAGCAAAATGCTTAATGCATGTTTTGTCCTGTAGTCAGGCTTTTAAAAATCCAATAAAGTTTGCAAATTATTTTGAAAGAGGCAGAATTTTTTCTTCAAGCTTGACATTAGAATATGCTTTTGAAAGATGGCTTTGCTAAAATGAAAAAAAAAAAAAAATTGAAAAGGTTAAAAATTAAAAGGTTGAAAAAAACCTATCTCCTCCTGCTGAGGGGTGGTGGTTTTGGAAGCATTCTGTATGATCAGCTCATGAATCCACAGGAGAAACACATTCGTAGGTTAAGCCAGGTCTGGGACTTGAAATGATGGATACATTCAAATTTCTTCAGCTGTGTTTTATGCAGTATGCTATTTACACCCAGCAAATGTTTTATTGAAAAACAAGTTTTTAGAAGTGTTGATAATAGAGATAAATCTTCTCTGCCACTTTTTATGTGTTTTCTTTACTTGTATGTAGAGACGGGAGTTATTTCCATGCACTGGTTGACTTCTGTTGCCCAGAGCTCACTTCACATTTGGCTTTCTAGAAGCTGGTTGTATTTGGGTTAAATATTTTTAAAAAATTTTCCCAAATTCCTGTGAGAGACTGATTCTCCTTCTTAGGGTGAAGAGAGAGTTCAACAGGGGCCCAAGAAGATTTTTTTTTTTTTCAAGCCGTATTCTGTTTCATGAAAGTTAATAAATACTTTTATATTGTGTACCTGTTATTGAATCCTGTAGTTTTTGTAATAAAAGATTACCTGTAGGATGGAAAGATGAAAGACTCAGATATCTTGTAATACACATATTTTGTTACTCAAACACCGTATCTCTCTAATCCTGCGTGGATCGCTGCGCTAGGTGGTGTACTTGGAAGACGTGTTAAGATTGGGCTGGATTTGGATGTGGTGGACCTGGGCAGCATCACAGCCTCTCCCCGGCTGCTGCCCTGCCAGCAGCTCTTCTCGTGAGCTGGAGCCCACCTCGGTGCCGTCTGTTTCCTCTCTAGCAACGACCGCGAGCTCTTACAGCTTACGTGAGCTAAAGGCGCAACAGGAACAGGAAAACACCGATGGCGTGAGTGCGACGAGGTACTGAGGAAGCTTTGAGCAGCCTGACCGTGTGTGCAGCTCCGCTTAGCACTCCGCTTGAGCCAGCGAGCTGCCAGGTTAGCACCATGGCTCTGAATCGCTGGGAGGGGTTGGGAGGCTATAGTAATAGCACGATGGAAATATTTTGAGGTGTTTTTCCCTTGGCTAAGGAGTGAGGTAACAGTGCCAAAGGTGTTTGTGGGAGACCTGGGCTAATAAGCACTGAAAGCTGGCATTGTTTGGGAGAGTGAAGGCAGATGCTTTTATGTTTTCAAAATGAGGTCATGGATAATTTAGTCTGGTTTAGTTTCTACTTTTGGAGATGTGGCTTTACACCCTTATGCTGAGGGGAAACGTATTGTTTAGTGATACGGGCACAGAACTGAGGCAGAGCTGTAACACAGTCATTCTGCCATCATATATCGGGCTGTGTAGCTTTAAGTGACCTATGGAATATATGCTAAGGAAATAGAGCAAAGGCACCATTAATAGAAAATGGGAGGGAAAAAAAATCGAGACTTTGCCAGTGCAGTTTCCTAGTTTCATTCTGTCATCCTGGTTCAGAATGCCCATTAACGTGTTTGATGGGATGCGAAGTCAGTGGGAGGTCGGCGGGGGTTACTGCATGGACAGGCACTGCTCGCAAACGTTAGGTGTGCTCGCACGTGGGAACCGGTCGGCAGATCGCAGAGGTGACCCAAAAGCAGCAGGGCACAATTCAGTAGGGATGAATGCAAAACACTGAACTTGAGGGAAAATGAAGTTGGTGAAAGCAAGCCGTTCCCCCCGCCTTGGAAGATGCAGTGAGGGGAAAAAAGCATCTGGTTGCACAGAGGTGAGCAGCTTGATACTACTGCAAAAAAGCAAAGCTCAAGGCTTAGGAGCAATTTTTTTTACATGTGAAAGTAATTATTCTATGAAGCACCAGTGATTTTGAACAACACATTTTAAGAAATAGGTGGGCACATTCCCCTAAATGGAAACAATAGGTAATGTAAGGAAAAAAAATTAAAGGGACTGAGTATTCCCGGTCTAGAATAAGTCTGAGGAAGGAACTCTACCTTTTAATACCTAAAAGATTGCTACTACAAAAAATGTTTATCAATTGTTCTTGATATTTCTGGTGGGAAGGAAAGGATTAGCTTTATTTGCAAGCAAAAATATTTTTGTTGATTGTTAAGATGGAACATAATGGTGATGATAGGAAAGCTCTGCTCTTGTAGGTTTAGAGCAGCAGATTGGCAAACCTCTGCAGGGGATGTTTACGGGATGCTTCGCCCTGCTCCACTGCGGGGACCTCGCTGCTGCAGTTCACTTCCATGGTTTCTTGATTTTTCCATTTTTGTTGGGTGAAATTACTGCGGTGGCTCCCTGGAGGTGATGGGCACCTGGGAGAGGCTTAGGAGACGGAGCCCTTTGCCTGGCCAAGATCTTCCCGATTACAGTTTACTTTGGGGTTTTCTTCTGAAAAATCGATGGCTATTTCAAAGTTAGAACCTGACATCAAGCGAAAACTTTGTATTTGGACAGTGGACTAAGCTCTTTATCCTCACCACCGCCAAACCTCGTAGGCTGGTCGTAACCTCTGCAGTGGATTTTAGCCTGGGTTCTGGTTTGTGGTTAAAATTTCTGGTTTATAGTGCGATCTCCTTGAAACAAAAGGAGAGTGCACTGTATTTGATTTAGGTGGGGACGTATCCAAATACTGGAAGAAAAGGCACTACACATATAAAGCAGACGTGAAAATCGCAAAGAGGTCAAAGTCTGGAGAATTTATTTTGACGTCTCGGTTTTTAACATGAATTCCTTTGTTTTGTTGATTATAAACACTATAATGCACATAAATGCGGGGAAAATATGTAACATTGACAGACCTATATGCATTTTTAACGCAGACTTTTCATTTATCTTTTTTTCTTTATTTCTCAGCATAATTATAGAAGAAAACATCCAGGGACTAACTGTCACCTCTCTTAGATTTGTAGAGGTGCTCGAGTGTCTAATTAGGATATAGTTCTTTCCTTGCGTGTCCATGTAAGCATTCATTTCAGCTCTGATCGCTTCGCTACCAGGCCCTGTCAGTCTGTCCCAGGGCTGCGGGGGAAGGACGGTGGGATGCAACGTCGTTGAGTTCTTGGGTGAGCAGGAACCGTCTGGCGTTAGGGTTCCTGTCAGTGATCACAAGGTATTTTACACTGTTTAACATTTTAGGGTATAAAAACTGTTTAGTTTTAGTTGATTTCATATTCACAGAAACCTGATAATTTATGGAAAATTTAATACAAGGAATTTTTAGTCACGTCAATATTTTTAGTTCCTTAAAACGGTTATGTCACAGAAAATTAGGAACCTGGTTTTTAATGGAGCATCAGTATTGCACTGGGGCCCTTAAAATACATACAGTAAAAAATATATACGTATATTTCCTACTTTTATAATTTAAATGACAATAATAATAATATATGAGCATTTGCATACACATTAAGCCATGGCAGCTAATATATAAAGTCTGTGTTATTCCATAGTCACCTGATACCCTAAATGTAGTTTTGCTAAACACATTTCCAAGGTTTTCTTTTATTCTTATTTTTCTCCAGATAAATCTACAATGTTAGTAACCTTTGTTGAGGTAGCTGAGTCAGGATTTCATTTGAAAGATTTTGTATTTTATTGAAAAAATACGTCACCGAGTATGGTGCTCGGGATGTGGTAAACATCATAAAGTGACAGCAAAACTTGAAAGCGTATTTAGCTAGGTTTTTTTCACTGCTGAGTAGAAGCGAAACTGCACGGGCACCCTGTGGGCTGACCTAACAGCCTGTCACTGCTGCGGCAAGGAGCTCTCTCTGCCCCAGCTCCCGACCCTGCGGTCCCACGCTGGATTTTCCGGGAGCTAACTGGGCTCCTCCGTAGGCCCGATGATACAACTCGCTCACCTGCAAACACAGCCGGGCTCCTTCTCGCTGCGTGAGCGAGCGGAAACTTGTGGGCAGCGGCTGAGTAGGCAGCGAGGCCGATGGACGGCTCGTGGGGGTGAGGGAGGGAGGGAAGGAGGCGCGAGCAGGAGCAAAACCCTCTTTGGCAGCAGCAGCCAGTTCGTTTGGCTCCGCTGCTCCTTGCGACTTCTCTCCGAGAAAACAATACGACAGGGCGAATTCACGTTTTTACATCTGCGCCTCATTGGGAGTCTTAATTTTCTTGTGAATTGGTTGAGTGAATGTTTTGAAGCTGATTCATTTTGGGAATTCTGGAAGGCTGGAGTGAGATGAGCTTATGTGACTGGCAGTTATTTTTTTTCTTTGCTGTGTTAACAAAGGAGTGGTCTCAACAATAAAGGGCAAAAGAAATGCTCTTCCTACTCCAAAGGTCATTTCAGGTCAAACAGGGAGGGTTTAATTATTTTTATTCTTTTTTATTCATTATTATTCTATTCTATTTTACTTTCACCCATAGAATTGAATTTCAGAAGATTGTTAATACAAAGCATTGTTTTCTGGAAATGCATTT